TATGTAGACGCAGGATGTACATTGCAAGAAACCCGAAATAAAACAGAATATATATTATACCGCTGCTTAAAGACTAACGCATACGCAGGATGTATAAATAATTGCACATGGAATAATACAGTATCGCTGCTTAAAGACTAACGCATACGCAGGATGTACGTATAAACCGAAGCAAATACGCGACCGTGACCAGAATGAAAACTATTATAATCAGAAATGGAAAAACGGAAGATATATGTATACTTTTACGCGCACTGAAATGACTACCCGTACGTCTCCGTGTCGAGACTTGACTAGCGAGCGGAAGTACGTACAGTGTTTTTGTCTAGCCTAGTTTGTACCTTCCTTTTAGGACCTGCATAAGTTTTTAAGGTACCTGACTGAGCGCTTGACGAAGCGGAAGGCTTGTCCGTAGCGTCGGACGTGGATGGATCGTTAGCGATCGGAATGTCGTCCGGTATAAAGTGAGCAGGCTTGAGACGTTCTATCGATACGGCCGTGGGTCTGCCGTTAATTTCGATAGTGTAGACTTTGTCTGACGTCCTTTCAAGCACTTTGAAGGGGCCCGAATAAGGCCGCTCCAAAGGCTTTTTAACAGCGTCCTTATGGAGGAAGACGTGTGAACAGATTGACAACTCCTTAAATTAGAAAACGCGTTTCTTGTAATGGTGTGCCACCGGTACTGGCTTCACCTGTCGCATGTGCTGTCTAAAATCGTCTACAAAAATTTGGGGATCCGGCGTAAAATCCTCCTGGAGGAAAAATTCTCCCGGAATCCGCAATACCGTGCCGTACAGAAATTCGGCCGGAGAGGCTTTTGTGTCCATACGCACATGAGTGCGTAACCCGAGTAAGACTGTAGGGAGGACATCCACCCAGCTCGGCGTGTTATGGCACATAATCGCCGCCTTGAAGGTGCGGTGCCAACGCTCGATCATGCCATTAGCGGCAGGGTGATAAGCCGTAGTGCGAATGCGTTTGCATCCGATCAGTTTGAGAAGGGCTGAGAAGAGTTGCGCTTCAAACTGTTGACCTTGATCGGTCGTGAGAATACGAGGTGCACCGAAACGAGCGACCCAATTATCGTAAAATGCCTTGGCTACTGTTTTGGCAGTAATGTCCAAGATTGGAATTGCTTCTGGCCAGCGGGAAAACTGATCTATAATTGTTAGACAATATGTAAAGCCGTTGCTAGGATGCAAGGGACCAACTATGTCCATATGGACGTGGTCGAAACGCCCGTCAGGAGCCGAAAATTGAGCAGGCTCAAGTTTGACGTGGCGAGAGGTCTTGCACTGCTGGCAATCGGTACAATTACTCGCGTCGTATTACCCGCCCAAGTCGCGACATCGCGATGCAGGTTAGGCCAGATATACCGTTGTCTTATGACGCGGTCCGTTACTTTTGCGTTTGGGTGCGCGGGGTTGTGAAAAAGGTCGAAGACCTGCCTTCTAAGAGATGCTGGAATGTAGGGTCTGATCGATTCACCTGACAATTCGCAGTATAGCTCTGTGTTGGAAGAACCTCAAATGAATTTTTTTAATTTCAACGAGGACGAGTTTGAGACCAAGAGGTGTTTGAGTTCTTCGTCCTCTTTTTGTCTAGCGGCAAGGTCGACTAATTCGAATTCGACCGGGAGGCGGAGAGCCTCGACACGAGATAAATTGTCAGCCACCACGTTATCGGTACCTGCGAGGTATTCAAACGCGGTGGTGAACTGCGCTATGTACGAGAGCTGACGTAATTGCCTAGGAGAGGCTTTATCTGACCGTTGCTGGAATGCGTAAACCAAAGGTTTATGGTCCGTCATGACCTTAAAATTACGACCTTCAAGGAAGTGTCTAAAAAATTTTATTGATTCATAAATCGCGGTCAATTCGCGGTCATACGCGCTATAGTTCCTCTGCGCCGGAGTAAACTTTCTAGAGAAAAAAGCTAATGGTCTCCAACCGTCAGAGGTATACTGCTCAAGGGCCCCACCCATGGAAAAGCCGAAGCATCTTATACGACGCGAGTATCGGCAGTGTTGGACGGATGTGCTAATAACGCGGCATTAGCAAGGTCAGTTTTGGCCTTGTCAAACGCGGTTTCGGCCTCGAGAGTCCATTGTATTTCGCGTTTATCATTTTTACGCGAGTCAGTTAAGTACGCGTGTAGAGGGGCTTGTACGCGAGCGGCGTGTCGAAGGCTGCGTCTATAAAAATTTAACGCGCCCAAAAAACGACGTAGTTCCGCTACGGTCTTTGGCTTCGGGAGATCCCGAATAGCAGCCACTTTTTCCGGAGAGGGTTTAAGACCAAATTTGTTTACGCGATGACTGAGAAAGGTCAATTCCTCTACACCGAAAATACATTTGAATGGGTTGATAACTAACCCGAATTCCTTAAGTTTCTGGAACACAATGCTTAGATGTTTCCTATGCTCCTCCATGGAAGAGGATGCAATAAGAATATCATCTATGTAAGCAAATGCAAAATCGAGATCCCGTAGGGCATGGTGAATGTACCGCTGAAAAGTCTGAGCGGCATTCCGCAGACCGAATGTCATGGAGACAAATTCGAATAGACCGAACGGCGTTATGACGGCCGTCTTTGGTATGTCTGACTTCGCCATTGGAATCCAGTGGTAGGCCTTGAAGAGATCAAGGGAAGAAAAGATTGTTTTACCTAGCAAATTTGAGGTAAAATCGTGTAGGTACGGTATCGTATACTTATCCGGGATCGTGACGGCATTTAAGCGACGGTAATCGCCGCACAACCGCCAATCACCGTTACCCTTGCGGACGAGGTGAATTGGGCTGGCCCAAGGACTGCTGGACGGCCTACAGATGCCTAACTCAGACAGCCTTTTAATTTCAGCCTTCGCTGCCTTTAACCTATCGGGGGGTAGCCGGCGTAGCCTCTCCGCGACGGGAGGACCATTAGTCGAAATATGATGTTCGACAGCACATGCGGCAGGCGAAAGCGCTTGACCGCAACCGGTAACCTCGGGGAATCCCGAAAGGATGTCCGCAAATTTATTATCATTATTGACTACCGAAATTTTAATTTCCGGTACTGTCAGTATCTGTCCGGACGATGACAAAGAAGTAACACTGTCGACCAGACGACGTTTGTGCAGGTTGACAATTAATTTGTAATCTGTCAACACGTCTGCACCGAGGATTGCAAAAGGCACATTCGCTACGCGAAAATTCCACGTGATAGGACGCCGCAAGCCAAGAGTAAGACGACGCTCGCCGAACGTATCTATTAAAATATTGTTCGCTGCAAAAAGTTTAAACTCTGAGGGCGTGTTCCTATCGCATAAGGACGCTGGGAGTATAGAGATCTCCGCGCCCGTATCTACCAAAAACCGTTGACCGGTGATCCGGTCAAAAACGTGTAGACGGCTTTGATTGTGCCCGACATCCCCGACCGTCTCTTCGCGGGGAAAGCGAATTAGTTTTCCGCCGCGTCGTCTTTCCTCAAGCAAGGCTTCCGGCAGGACGTGGCCTTTTTCCCGTATATACGGTGAATGTAGCAGTAGCCTGTCTTATCATCAGGCTTGGCTGCTGCATCACCATGCTTATTATTACGCTTGCGGGAGGTAGATCTGTCTCGGCGCAATTTTGCGACCGAGGTGTTCAGAGACTGGATCTGCTTGGTAAGCTTATCGATCCGCTCGTCAGTGCTCAAAGGAGCTTTAGGACGAGCGCCTTTGGATTCTTTGGTCGGCGCGACAACGGCGACTGCGGAACTGGGACCATTAATGTCCGCGAGTTTATCCGCGATTTCTGCTAATTTCTGCAGTTCAGGTTCATTAGTCGCAACCAAAATGGCTTTATGCGTGTCTGGCAACAGCTCAATAAAGAGAGATCTTAATACGGCAGAGCTGCATTGCCCGCCGTTGAGCTGATTCATTTGACTTAACAAATGCGAGGGCCTCCGGTCCCCCAGAACCTTTTTTTTACGTGTGGAAATCCTTTATGGATACCCGGGCCCCCCTCTGGGAAGGAAGTTTACAAAGTGGCCCGGGTTATGTGGGACTGCCCCCCTAATGGCGATCGGGTGCGGCCGCTGATGTTGCGACCGCTGGGCTTACCGCACTAAAACCACACGGTGGACTGCGCGGTGCTTTACTTGGGAGACGCCCAGGCTTGGCAGAGCCGTTACTTCTGGACGCCCCCCGCACCGGCCCGCCGTTTGACTGGCGGGCCTCTGCGCTCCCTCCCCCGTTGGTGTGGGGGAGAGGGGACTCCCCCCGCAGGGGGAGTCCACTACTCTCTTGGGTGGCAGAGGCGTCCACAACCTCTACCGCCCGCCTCCGTGGAGGCAGGGTCTGACGGGAATCCCAGCCCGCCAGACCCAGGCCGCCTCCCCCGTTGTCGTTGGGGGAGGGCCGTCTCCTCACCGCCTCGGCGGTGTTCCGCCCACTAAGAGGGGAGGGGACTTACCCGCGGCTTGCGGACAGCCCCTCCCCCGCCCGTCAGGGCGGTGGTGTGGGCGCCGGTCCACCAGAACCTGACCTTTTAACAATTGCCGTAAGCGGGCCTCAGGTGAGACCGCGAACGTCGCGAGAATCCGATCTCTGAGCACTTTGTACAGGTTATCGGGCGGTGGATCCGCCGTAATCAAATCTCGGACATGTGAAATAACCTCTGGATCGAGGCCAGCGATAAGATAATCGACTTTTGTGCTGTCAACGGTTATGTTCGCGTTTCGGAACGACGCTTCAACCCGCAAAAACCAATCTTCCGGGGCCTGTCGCCAGAAGGGCGGAATCTTCGGCACCCGGTATGATTCTACGCGCGCATCGACCTCTGGCATATTGAAATTATGAGACGCGTACCGTGACCCGAGAAAAAATGAGAAAAAAGACAAAAAGCTGAGGAGAAATACCAGGACGAGGCAAAACATATGCCTCAACGGTCTCGAAGTTCTTGACGAGGCGTCGTCCCTCGAAGGAGGTAGAGCTCGGACTCGAGACGTCGGCGAGAGGAGATTAACTGCGCTGTCCTGCGTTCCGCCGGACGGCGGTGCCTGCTGGATGCGCTGCCAGGGGCGTACCTCGATGCCTGCGTTGCGTGCGCGCGCCAGGGGCTGACTGCGCAACGCGTCCCGTAGATATGGTCCTCGTGCGCTGTGGTATGGTCCCGCGCGCTGTCGGTATGGTCCCGTTCGCTGCCGCCGGGATGGCTGCGCGGAATGCGCGCCCGCCGGTATGGACCCGTGTGCGCGTGAGCGTCCGCCGGGATGACTGCGCGGGATGCGCGTCCGCCGGGATGACACGTGCGCTGGCCTGGATGTGCGCCTTGAGTTTGACTCGGCCGCGTCGCCGGGAATAGCTCAGGATGAGATTCCGACGACTTGAGTCCAGACGAGGAAAACGGCCGATCTTCTTGCGTCACCCAAAATGGCCTCCGTTGACGTTCACTTGTTGCCGACAGTGGACTCGCCCGAAGTTTCGGGAAGGCCCGAGAATGGACTCGCCCGGCGTCGTTGACGCCAAAATTGGGCCCGTCCGAGGATCCTCGTAGCTTGGAGGGCGTGGTCGAGGTCCTCTTGAGTGCTGCAGGTCCGCCCAGGAAGCTGGGGATGACCTGAGTCCAGTCGCCGATCTCCGTAGCCGCCGATGCGAGCGTGAAAGGCGCGGATGCGCGATCATGTCGGGGTCACCAATTGTGGGCTATTATATATTTTAGAAGCCCCGGCTGAAGTTCCACAGTACTTCTATAGCCGAAGGCTGGTTTCTCGGCTAAGGCGGTAATAATGACTCACTTGTACAAGTAAAAGAGATATACTTTATTGGAGATCACAGAGGCACGACAAGATGGCCGGTCTTGTACGTGCCGAGGCGAGTAACGACTTGTGACTAACTTATTCTGTCCCGCTCGGACAGCGCCACCAACGACCATGAACAACGTCGTGGTGTAGAAGGGCAACTGCTAGTCGCCACAATGTGAAAAATCCCGGCCGGTTATTTAAAGGACATACTGTGGATGTGTTCGAAAATGGATTCAGTTACTGCCAGTGAAAACAGTATAGTTGGTAGCAATGAAAATTACTGGTGCTGCGTTTTTCGCACGCCAGTAAAGTCAGTAAGGCTGGGTCTACATTTGGATGTCGTAAGTCGTGTCGGAAGGAATTGACCAATCACAGTTCATTATTCGACTTACGACATCCAATGTAAACCCAGCCTTACTGACTT